GATTTATTGACTATCGCGACAGGCCTAGTCTAATGTTACAACTAATCAGGGATCCCTTTAATGTAAAGCAGCTGCATCTCACAGACTCTCTAAAGACATGTTAGTGTTTGTTACCACCAGAAAGGATTCTAAGTTCTTCAGATTTTCTCTTTTTAAACCTAAAATAAACCTTACAAATTACATTTGGTCCACATGCAGCTGCTAGACATGCAAGCTTCTTAAAGCTGCCAAAGAGCAACTCCAAACTCACCCTCCTGTCTCCTCCAATAGGAGGCCAGGGTTTCTTAGGAGGCGTGGCCACTCCTGACTCAGGCTGAGACAACAGGTAAAAGAACAAAACACACTCAGGAACACTAATATAATCAGAGCAGCAAAGCCTCTTTTAATTTTAAATGCATGTTTTGCTGCTGCTCCAAAGTGTTAACTAGCACCTCCATCCTTCACAATAAAAGCCTTAGAAAAGTGGGCCTGGAGCCTTGTTTTTAAAGGTGGTTCTGTTGTGTTTGTTACCAGAGGTCTGGTCCCCAGGCTGGAGCTGCGCAGGGTTTCCAGTTCCTCAGTCATCTTAGTGGCCAGAGCCTGCAGGTATCCTCGAGCATCCTTCTCATCGCTCACCCTGAAACCAGCAAACAGGACGGAGCTGAGCATACAGCGCCCCCTGGTGGACAAATATCCAAACCGCAGTCAGATAGGCCACTCACCACTGGATGATCTCTGCAATCTGAGCCTCCCAGTGTGCCACGCTCTCCTTCTTAGCCGACAGATCCTGGAGGTTGTCCTCCAGCTGCCGGTTCTGAGCTGTCAGCCTTTCCACGAACGAGCACAGCTGCAGAAGACGAGACACAAACACAACAACAGCTCTACAAGTTACAGAGGAGTTGTCCACAAAATAACTGGACAGTGGCTTTGATTTACCAACCCAAAGAAAAAAAAACACAACAGTGTAAATTCTTTTTAAGCATTCATACTGTTGAGATATTTTTTCAGCACATATTCCATCACTTTTGTGCTATTTCAATGATTTATGATTCAAAATGTTCGGCTCCTTCAGGACAATTCCAGCTATGATTTTTGGTTTTTCAGCGATTTATGTTTCTCTTATTGAAAATGAATTAATTTGTTTTCAACATCATTAAAACTCTGTTTATTAATCTTTGCTGCAATTTTTACCTTTTGTTCTAGTTCTGCTTTTTCAAATTCCTTCGTTTATCAGCTTTGATGTTGCTGATTTAAATTTTTTCCCTCCATTATCACTCAAACCTTTTCTGTTATTCTTCTGCTAATTCCAACTTTTGTGTGCTTCTTTAAATTTTTTTATGCTTCTTTTAGCTGCTCTCTGCTAATTTCAGTCTTTCTGTGTTTTAGCTAATTTGGGCTTTGGCAAAATTCACCTTTTTGTGATGTCAGCTTCTTCTTGCTTAATTCAGCAAATATGTGCTCATTTTTTAAAGTTAGTAATCGTGTTTCCATCATGTTGTAGAGTGAATTTTTATCGAACTTTTCAAAATTCGCAAAAAATTAAATAAATAAAAATTTGGATCTAGACTGTTTCCATCTAGTTTCCCTCTCAACTGTTTGATGTGAATAAACGAGGCTACGCAACGCATGATTACGTCAGACGAGGCTACGCAACGCGTGATTAYGTCAGATGAGGCTACGCAACGCGTAATTACGTAAGACGAGGCTACGCAACGCGTGATTACGTCAGACGAGGCTACGCAACGCGTGATTA